TACGTGCTCTGGTTGCACTCCGTGTTAATTATTGTAATTCTGTCTTTTCTTGGTTACTTCTCCATAGTCGTCAGCTGGTCCAAAATGCAGGTGCTCGTGTAACTACCAGAACCGCTTCTGTAGAATATATTTCTCCTGTCCTTCAACAGCTTCACTGGTTGGCTGATTTTGAGAAATAATATTGGACCTGCTTTTCACCCTCCAGCTCCTCCATGTTTGTCAACCTGCCTGTGTATGCACTGTGCTTGAAACGTTGGGGGAATTATCGCTGTTTGTTCTTTACTTTGGTGGTGACCGATTTTGGATTTCTGCTGCAACATTCTAATGATAAGATCAGAATTTGGATAAAAACATGCAAACGTTCATCCTGTCTTGTATCAACGGTTCAGGCTGGTTGTAGTGGTGCAATGGTGCGGAGGATATTGTATTGGCACACTTTGGGCCCAGTAGCACCATGAGAGCATTGTTTAAACACCATTGTATGACCATGTCCATCCCTTTAGTACCAAAGTGTACTCATCTTTTGATGGCTGCTGCTATCAGGTCGCAATGTAACAAAGCTCAAATAATCTGAAACTGGCTTTTTGACCTTGTCAGTAAATTCACTGTATTCAAATACAACAACTGCATCATTTCAAAGTAGATCAAAATCTCGGAGGAATGTTTTCACACCTTGTTGCCATGAGCGATTAAGGTAGTGCTAAAGGTAAAAGGAGGTGAATCCCAGTACGTTGAATGTATACCTGATAAAGTGTCCAGCGGAAAAGGAAGAGTAGATTCACACAAATAGGCTTTCAGGTATTGCTTCAGTACAAACAGTAAATGACGGTACACAGAAAGAAGTAATGACAAAGGAATAAGGGGACGGAGGGATGTTGTTTACCTCCATGGCAACTATTTGTTCTCTTTGATGTTGAAGATGGCTGCTTGGGTTGCTGCATCAGTGTCTTGCTCTACTCTACTTCAAAGGACTTTTCCTACTGCACATCAATGCAGCTAAATTACACCATTAGTCATGGAACAAAGTGATTCCAAAGCCTTATTCATTTTGCAATCTTTAGATGGTAAGTATGTCAAGAGGTGAGCAGAGGTGAGTCTGTACAAGTGCTGGACAAAACACAAGTGAACTGAACAACTGCATAAATGCAGACTAATTGGATGCGTGACATGGAAATACCTATTCACGTCATCTGAAATTCAAAATAGATGCACAAATAATTGGTCAAGGTTAGCGCTGGGTATATTTTCAATTTGGATGCATTAACATTACAATCAGTGCTCTAAAATTACAAATGAGGGATGTTTTCAATCACAAAGAAAAATTTGGCACACGATGAATAAAAAACATTTTATGTTTTCTGCGAGATTTAAAGGGTTGTGTTCATACACTTTTTTTTTTTACAGCTCCAGTACAAATGATTCATAGTTATAGTTTTAACAGAAGATAAGAAGCACTTCACTTGACTTAGCAACAGAGCTGAAGGAGTCCTTTTCAATAAATGAGAAACAAAGTGACCCTCACTTTGTTTTTAGGAGTGGTAATGAGCGGATTTGGTGAAGCGATATTGTAAAAAGAGAAAGAATGTAGCAGGAGGGTCGGACTAATACAAAGTGCAGTTTTAACTGCAACCTTGGGACTGTTTTCAGAGTCAGCCTCCTAATAGCTACTTTATCATTCTAAATAATAAATCTGCAATGTCAGATACATAAACAACTACATTATTAAGGACCATCAAACGCATCTCAGTGGTGCTCCCGTATCCAAACATCTTTAAATCACAGGGGAGCAGGATTTACTACAAAGGCTTCAGCTGCCCGAGAGCTGGT